CATCTTCTCCGATCTCTTTATTCTCCTCTCCGACACCGCGGCTCCGACCCCCCCCAGACCCCCCGAACCCCCCCAAATCCAGATCGGGGGTGCCCGGGGGGGGTGGGGAGGGGGTCCCAGGACCTCCCAAAATCTTCCCCAAAGTCTCTACAGCGTGAAAAGCACAGGGAGGGGGGAGGGGCGTGAGGGGGAGGGGATTGGGGAGGGGAGGGCACGACCCCTCCCCGTTTTTTGCTGCTTTTCCCACGGGGGTGTTGTGTTGTTGTGTTGTTTTGTTGTGGTTTTTTTTTTATTTTTGACCTTTTCCGCCTCTTTTTCCAGCGGATCCCGGGTCTGTTCAGGGTTTTGCTTTGTCCTCAGCACCGTTTTCCTTTTTGATCTCCTCRTAAACGGCTTCCCCGGCGCCTTTTTCTGCTCCGTCGCCGCTTTTGGCGTTGGGGACCCAGAGCCCCGAATCGATGCAGCGCTGCATGTGGTACTTGGCCTCCTGAAATTGGGGGGAGGGGTTTCGGAGGGGGTTTGGGGGGTCCCAAAAGGGTTTGGGGGATCCCAGAGGGGTTTGGGGGGATCCTTGAGGGGTTTGGGGGATCCCCGAGGGGTTTAGGGGGTACCCGAGGGGTTTGGGACCTTTCCAGAGGGGTTTGGGATCTCACAAGAGGGGTTTGGGGGGAGCCCCGAGGGGTTTGGGATCTTCCTGAAGAGATTTGGGGATCCCTCTGTGCGATTTGGGACCTTCCCCGAGGGGTTTGGGATCTTCCCAGAGGGGTTTGGGGGGATCCCAAAGGGGTTTGGGGGAGCCCCGAGGGGTTTGGGACCTTTCGAGAAAGGTTTGGGGGAGCCCTGAGGGGTTTGGAACCTCACAAAAGGGGTTTGGGATGGGGTTTGGGGGGTCCCAAAAGGGTTTGGGGGATCCCCGAGGGGTTTGGGACCTTCCTGAGGAGATTTGGGGGATCCTCGAGGGGTTTGGGGGGTACCCAAAGGGTTTGGGACCTTCCCAGAGGGGTTTGGGGGGATCCTCGAGGGGTTTAGGGGGTACCCGAGGGGTTTGGGACCTTTCCAGAGGGGTTTGGGACCTCACAAGAGGGGTTTGGGGGATCCCAGAGGGGTTTGGGACCTTCCTGAAGAGATTTGGGGATCCCTCTGTGGGATTTGGGACCTTCCCCGAGGGGTTTGGGGATTCCCCTATGGGATTTGGGACCTTCCTGAGGAGATTTGGGGGATCCTCGAGGGGTTTGGGGGGTACCCGAGGGGTTTGGGGGATCCCTGAGGGGTTTGGGGGATCCTCGAGGGGTTTAGGGGGTACCCGAGGGGTTTGGGACCTTTCCAGAGGGGTTTGGGATCTCACAAGAGGGGTTTGGGGGATCCCAGAGGGGTTTGGGACCTTCCTGAAGAGATTTGGGGATTCCTCTGTGCAATTTGGGACCTTCCCTGTGGGATATGGGGCCTTCCTGAGGAGATTTGGGGGACCCTCAAAGGGGTTGGGGGGATCCCCGAGGGGTTTGGGACCTTCCCCGAGGGGTTTGGGGGGATCCCCAAAGGGTTTGGGGGGTACACAAAGGGTTTGGGGTCTTCCCAGAGGGGTTTGCGGGGATTCTCGAGGGGTTTGGGACCTTCCTAAAGGGGTTTGGGACCTTTCCAGAAAGGTTTGGGGGAGCCCCGAGGGGTTTGGGACCTCACAAAAGTGGTTTGGGATGGGGTTTGGGGGGTCCCAAAAGGGTTTGGGGTCTTCTTAAAGGGGTTTGGGACCATCCTGAAGAGATTTGGGGATCCCTCTGTGCAATTTGGGACCTTTCTGAAGGGGTTTGGGACCTTCCCCGAGGGGTTTGGGGGATCCTCGAGGGGTTTGGGGGAGATCTCCGAGGGGTTTGGGGGGAGCCCTGAGGGGTTTGGGGCCTTCCTGATGAGATTTGGGGACCCTCCTGAGAGATTTGTGACCCCCCCAGAGGTGTTTGGGGCCCTTCCCAAGGGATTTTGGGGATCCCCCCGAGGGGTTTGGGACCCTCCCAAGGGATTTGGGGATCCCCCTGAGGGGTTTGGGACCCTCCCGAGGGATTTTGGGGATCCCCCTGAGGGGATTTTTGGGGTGAAAACTCACGGTTGGGTCCATTTTGCTGATGGTGTCCTGCAGCATCTGAACGTCTTTGACATCGAAGCATTTCTGCAGCTCCTGCCGGGCCCAGGGACTCGGTCAGAGCACTGGGAGCGACTGGGAGTGACTGGGATGGACTGGGAGCGACTGGGAGTGACTGGGATGGACTGGGATGGACTGGGATGGACTGGGATGGACTGGGAATGACTGGGAATGACTGGGAGTGACTGGGAGTGACTGGGAGAGACTGGGAATGACTGGGAGTGACTGGGATCACACTGGGATCACACTGGGAGTGACTGGGATCACACCGGGAGTGACTGGGATGGACTGGGAATGACTGGGATTGTGCTGGGATCACACTGGGAGCGACTGGGATGGACTGGGAATGACTGGGATGGACTGGGATCACACTGGGAGTGACTGGGATTGTGTTGGGAGTGACAGGGATGGACTGGGATGGACTGGGAATGACTGGGAGTGACTGGGATCACACTGGGAGTGACTGGGATCACACTGGGAGTGACTGGGATCACACTGGGAGTGACTGGGATCACACTGGGAATGACTGGGATCACACTGGGAATGACTGGGATCACACTGGGAGTGACTGGGATCACACCAGGAGTGACCGGGATCACACCGAGAGTGACTGGGATGTACTGGGAGCAACTGGGATCAAACTGGGAGCAACCATTTCCCACAAAAAAACGCCCCAAACACTCAAAACAACCAAAACCAGGAGATTTCACCCCAAACCCAAAATCCCACTGGGAGCAACCAAACCCCACAAGGATCCCCTAAACTCCCAACACTCAGAATTTCAGGATTTAACCCCAAAATCCGCTCAGAAAGGACCACGATTTATGAGAGCAAACCCCACATGGACCCTCCCAGCCCCGAATTTGGGGTTTTTTTGCCCCCCAAACGCCACTCACGGGGGGCAGGGACTCGTAGACGTCCACGGGGTCGAGGCCGCCGGGCCCGAGGCGTTTCTGCCGTTCCTCCTCCTCGTACTCCCGGAGAGCTTTCTCCACCCGCGCCCGCGCCCGGCCCCGCACGCGCTCCTTGAACGCCTCCAGCTCCTCCGTGAAACCCTCCAGGTACTGCTGGTCTGCTGTCTGTGGGGAAAAATGGGGTTCAGAAACCCAAATCCATCCCAAATCTATCCCTGAAACCCTCCAGGTACTGCTGGTCGGCTGTCTGTGGGGAAAAATGGGGGTTAGAACCCTAAAACGGCCCCAAATCCATCCCAAATTCATCCCAAATCCATCCATGGAGCTCTCCAGGTACTGCTGGTCTGCTGTCTGTGGGGAAAATGGGGGGTTAGAACCCTAAAACGGCCCCAAATCCATCCCAAATCCATCCATGGAGCTTTCCAGGTACTGCTGGTCTGCTGTCTGTGGGGAAAATGGGGGGTTAGAAACCTAAAACGGCCCCAAATCCATCCCAAATCCATCCCCGGAGCTCTCCAGGTACTGCTGGTCTGCTGTCTGTGGGGAAAATGGGGGGTAAAACCCCAAATCCATCCCAAATCCATCCCAAATCCATCTGTGAACCCCTCCAGGTACTGCTGATCCGCTGTCTGTGGGGAAAGTGTGGGGTTAGAACCCCAAATCCATCCCAAATCCATCCCTGGAACTCTCCAGGTACTGCTGGTCGGCTGTCTGGGGGGAAAATGTGGGGTTAGAACCCTAAAACAGCCCCAAATCCATCCCAAATCCATCCGTAAAACTTTCCAGGTACTGCTGGTCAGCTGTCTGTGGGGAAAGTGTGGGGTTAGAACCCCAAATCCATCCCAAATTCACCCACAGAGCCCTCCAGGTACTGCTGGTCGGCTGTCTGTGGGGAAAGTGTGGGGTTAGAACCCTAAAACGGCCCCAAATCCATCCCAAATCCATCCATGGAGCTCTCCAGGTACTGCTGGTCTGCTGTCTGTGGGGAAAAATGGGGGGTAAAACCCCAAATCCATCCCAAATCCATCCCAAATCCATCCCCGGAACCCTCCAGGTACTGCTGGTCGGCTGTCTGTGGGGAAAATGGGGGTTAGAACCCTGAAACAGCCCCAAATCCATCCCAAATCCATCCATGAACCCCTCCAGGTACTGCTGGTCGGCTGTCTGTGGGGAAAATGGGGGGTTAGAAACCTAAAAAGGCCCCAAATCCATCCGTGAAACCCTCCAGGTACTGCTGGTCTGCTGTCTGTGGGGAAAGTGTGGGGTTAGAAACCTAAAACGGCCCCAAATCCATCCCAAATCCATCCATGGAGCTCTCCAGGTACTGCTGGTCGGCTGTCTGTGGGGAAAACTGGGGGTAAATGGGGGTTCAGAACCTCAAATGGACCCCAAATCCATCCGTGAAACCCTCCAGGTACTGCTGATCTGCTGTCTGTGGGGAAAGTGTGGGGTTAGAACCCCAAATCCATCCCAAATCCATCCCCGGAACCCTCCAGGTACTGCTGGTCGGCTGTCTGTGGGGAAAATGGGGGGTTAGAACCCTAAAACAGCCCCAAATCCATCCCAAATCCATCCCAAATCCACCCCCGGAGCTCTCCAGGTACTGCTGATCTGCTGTCTGTGGGGGAAAATGGGGGTAAATGGGGGGTAAAACCCCAAATCCATCCCAAATCCACCCCTGGGATCACCCAGCTCTGTCTCCTCC